TCTCTGCGGTTATCGAGTGGAGCTGACCATGATTGTGAGACAAGAGCCAGCAGGTCACCAATGGAACGACGCGGTCAAAAGTCATACTGGCGGTCGCTCAGTAGTTCTTCACGTTCAAGGAACGTGCGCAGCTGGTCAGAGATGGTAGTTTCAAATACTTTCGAAAGAACAGATGTGAGGGGAATGGGTCGGTAATTGTTGGGGTCAGAAAGGTCGCCTCGTTTGGGAATGGGAAAAATCACGGCGTGTTTCCATGGGGTTGGAAAGGAAGAAAGTTGGAGGACAGACTGAGAAGACGCCGTAAAACAGGAGCTAGCTCGGGAGCACACATTTTGAGGACGGTGGTTGGAATACCGTCCGGACCGGGTGGTTTATTTGCGTATAGAGAACGCAGTGTTTGACGGATTTTCCTAGTGCTGATATGATGTATAAAATGGTTACCAGTGAAAAAGGAAGAAGATGGAGGTTTAGATAAGTGGCATAAGGTGGAATGGGCGGCAATCTCAGAAGGGATAACCTCGACTTACTCGTACCGCTGACACAGAATCACCAAAGAATCACAGATTATGGGGAATTTGAAAGGGCAGGAATTACGGGAAACCGCTTTGGCAAGTGACCAAAGTTTCCAGTTACCGCTGGTGGACGAAACCAAGTTTCCGGCTTTACAGCGAACGAAGCGTTCATTGCTCCTTTGAATGGTTGTCGAACATCTGTTCATAGATTGCACAAAGCGATGATGGGAGATGGGAGTGGATAAGGGCACCGGTGGTGACAGATTGTGAAGATTATTTCATCAGGACAACATCTGGGGTCGGATATGTGTGAAGTATATAAAATATATACCCTGCTTCAGATCGAACGGTATATGTCTGATTGCCCACTTGAGCCGATGACCCCATAGCGGGTGAGCTCCGTTCACACACCTCATAAAGAGTGATATAAAGCCAAGCCGCTCAGACGAGCAATTTGCCACTGTTTCTTCAGGCTAGACAAACACCGCTTTTTGGCGTAGTCACTTGAGGCGGACAGAGAAGCTCGAATGCGATTTCGGCCATTGAATCAGTCTTATGCATTCAATACTGTTTCGAATGATCTGTTCACCTGTCTACCCGTTTCAAGAACACATACTGTCACGTTGGGTTTCCATGAATGATCAGCCTTGGGTTTTTTTTGCGCAATGTTATTGATTGTACAGACTGAAATGAACTGAACTGCCCCGTCACCTGTCCTTTTCCTCACCTCAGCCTCGTCTATCAATCCGAAGTTCGGATCTGGGGGATCGAATCGTGCTCGAACAGAGCAACAGTCATCTGACCAATCAAACGGAAACGCAAATCGTCGCCCGAAACTATCACCGGTGCGCTTCTTTATCCTGCTCGTGTCTGCCGGTTTGACGTTCTTTGCGGGCTACGCGCTGACGCATAATGCACCCTATGTGATGGATATGCAGAAGTTCATGTATCTGTTGGAACGAGGTGAGGTACAGAGTATCGTGTTGCATCCGCGTAGACGATTCGCTATTGTGAAACTGCACACACCACTACGGGAGGCCGGTGATAAGGTGAGCGAGAAAATTCCACTCACAGATTGTTGTCCGATATTCCTCATCGTGTTCACTTCAATCAACTGGTACTTTGCTGTCCTGCATTCGTTCAACGGCTGCTACTAGTACTACTACTAATAATGATGAAACACTGGAATATGGTGCACAGAGCCTAATACCTGTGATGGACGAATGGGCTAATTCAAACTGTTTATTTGTGATAGAGTAATCAGAAATCTTTATTTTCGACCTAGTGGTAGACTACCACTGTGAATGTAGGACGACACCTAAGTTAATAGTAATTGCACCTTGGCATGGCTCGATGACTTGTGCACATTTGTGACCCAACGAACCACACAGGATAGCTTTTATCAGGCCAAAACATCTTACCATGTCTGGAAGGTCGAAGGGTAGAAGTCAGTTTCCTGATCCTCCAAGTTATTTGTTTGACTTCACTTGCGGTCTCTCATTGGTTAAAAGGCGATGGAGGAATAATCAATCCAAGTAAGTGAGCTTCCACTTCGCTTTACCCACCGCTTTTCGGTCAGGTTCCTATCAGAACTGAAGGCTTTGGTCGAGAACCCTAGTCTTTCTCCTACCTATCTCCTGGACAATCTAGCAGAATCCGTCCACCAAACTCTCCCACCCCCCGGCTCACTACCGCACCTGATCTACTGAAGCCGTATGTGGTCCGCCACACCAAGTCTCAGGATCATGGTTTCCGATTGGACTTCACATATCACAAACATCAAAACACGAAATCAAGCTCGCTCTCTCGGTCGCTCTACGTACTCGCTTTGCAAACACGTATGTATCATACTCATCAACCTTCGCTGACTTAATCGCAACATTGATTCTCTACGCCTATTTCCTCGTTCTTCTCCCGTCGTCCTTTTTTAACCAAAACACAAATCTCTTCTTTCATCAGATGCTACCCACCTTCAAGTACCCCATTACACTTGCCACTTCTCCTTTCTAACAAAATCTAATGTCTTCACTTTGGTCCATCAATCAGTCACTATCTACAGAATTTCAAATCTTGATGTTCAGTTGTTCGCCGAGCTTGGCAATTGTATTGCAAACGTTTCATCACCAATC